TAATAATAATAATAATAATAATAATAATAATAATACCAATAATAATAATAATAATAATAATAATAATAATGATAGTATTAGTAACAAAGAAAACTGATATTACTTCTTTGTACCGTCCTTATATTCTTCTGCTTAGACGCTACTGAAGATGTGTTTTAGAACACGAGACCTCAGTTGAAATTAAGAGTAAGAGAAATTTCAAGAAAAGGAGCAACCGATCTTAATTAGTAACTTGTACACCCAAACAAACTTCAGTTAGTGATGACGACACTTACTGAAGTAATTGTGGTTTAAAAAAATTGTGCATATAATATATATAGGAAAGAATTCAATCAGTTGCATTACCTTGAACAGCAAATTTTTAGCAAAGTCAAACAAATTAATTTTGCATCACAGTTTTTAACCTTATCAACCTGTTCATCTATGGCTTTATTGCTTCTTTTTCACTTTTTCTTCTTAGTCCAGTCCAGTACCAATCAACCATTACTGCTATTTAATTGTTGTTAAGAACAACGGGTTGAGGAAAAAAATAACTTTCGAAACTCTTAAAAATTGGCAGTCGGGTGGACATCGCTGTAGACACTAAGGTTTCTTTTTAATCAACAGCAGTGTACAAATGCTTAACATTTAAATATCCTTCTTTTCCTCTAAATAATCCACCAACAGTGTCAGTTACATTTATTCACTATATCAATCACACATCTATCATTTTATTCCTTTTTTTTTTTGCTTCAACTCAGTTCAGTGATATTCGAACGATAAAAAACAGTATTTCATGCATCTTTCGATGTCGTATTCAACTTCACCAATTCCTCTCAATTTTTCTGATCTTTTTTTGTGATCATTTGTTTTATATTTGTCGGTGTATGTCCTTTTTTGATGCAACGCAAAATATGTTTCAATTTGACCTTCTTCACCGATATATCCATACCGAAAGGATATTATCCAACATTCAAAGAATTCCAAATTTTTTTGAAAGAGGAAAAAGGCAAAAATTCAGATCTTTCTTCTTTTTTAAATAAACATCCAAGAAATAGCAGTGACAATCATTTAATAGGCAGCGAGCATTAATTTTAAATTCTAAGCAACAAACTGTAAGATTACAAAAATTTTAAAGGCTAAACGGGAAATCAAAAATGCCAAAAAAGGAGATAGCCATCACCAACGTTGAACCAACATTTTTTGATGGACCAAAATCACTGGATCAACTTGTTTGTCTACCAAGGTTTTTTTTTGCGTATTCTTATGTTTATTCTCAACCTTAACAGCAATTACTTTGTCAAATAAAACGAAAAAAAAAACTCAACACTAAACTGCCTAAAGTTCTCAGAGCAAAAGAAATGATTTGTCAGTAATCCCAGTTTTTTTCTTATAGACTAAATGTTACATCAAGAGACGTACAGTTCATGAAACGAATGTGGAATGACGTTTTGATGAAGCAGAATCCAAAAATATTCTATAAAGTGAATGTTTCACCTCTGTTAAACCTATCAGTACCTGATTTTATAAAACTAATAAAGGTTCTTCAAATTTTGAAAGATCGTATTTATAAAACGAAACTCATTAGCTGCAAAGATTTCAGCAAGAAAAAAGTTTCTTTTTTCTATTCATCACTATAACCATGGTTAGTGAAAAAATTTTAAAAAACTTTTTCTTTTTCCATCGGCTGTTGATAATTTGATCCAATTAAGATACATCTTGTTGCAATTCTGATACAGGAGTTATTGTTCCTGTTGGCAAAAACTTGTCTAATTGTAAAACAGTTTCCACTATTCTTTTTTCCAGGCAATGATAATGGCGATCAGTGCAAGTCCACGTATCAATGAAGTGCTTGCTTGTCAGCGTTATTGCTATCGGGACGTCACCAAGTGGACAAAACTTAACCATCTTTGGTATACATTCGATTCACCTCGATCGATTTAATATCATCACTCTAACCATAATAATGGAATAAAATCGTGTTTTCTTTATAAGTGTAAACAAAAAGCTGTAATTGCAAAAGATTGAGGAACACTCGCAATATACAGACAATCATTGAACTTTGTTCAGTACCTCAAGCATACTTCCGTAGATTAAAAAACTGAACCGTTCTACGATATTGTAGCACTGAGGGTGAACGAAAATACAGTCTAGTGTTAACACGAAACCAGTTTAGCTTAATTGCTTCAGTAACTATCACTTGCTGAACAACTTTACAGCTCGACAACTAAACTGAATTTACTAACCGCTGAAAATTTTTTTAGCCAAGGACAGAAACAGTTCTTCTACCGGCTAATCTTTGAACTAGACTTAAACGAAGCAAAACTAGCTCAAGAAGCGAGTGTGCTTGGAACGAAGCACGCATCATGGGCAAAGTATGGCCTAAAGCCACATTTCCTGGATATCTGGCTCCTTGGTTTTGAGGTACAATTTTGTGTGCTTTTTTTACAGCATTCTAAATTCTTTCCTGTTCTCCGCTGACGGCACAGAAGTCCCTTGATCTAATCCGCGCTGTGGTTAACCAACAACAGTCCTTACAACTGTAATTTTGTAAATCAGCCACTGACAAAAAACTCAGTGATCCTTAACGTCTTTTAAGTTCTGAAGATATTAGAGAATTTGTATGTTCCCAACCATAGAGCACTAATTATAACCATAAAACCGATAGTCGCATTGAATTCAGCCAGTCAATGGTTAGCCCATCTTCAAACCTTAAAAAACTCCCTCCGGCAAAAGTCAACTAATTTAATAGAAAAATAGAAGAAAAATTCCTCGCCTACAGTGATTGACAGAAACTGGAAATTGGGTCTAAAAATCAAGCTATTCAGGTGAAAACCCCCCAATTCCCGACAACAGATTATCTAGCTCCATAGATCAAAACTTCCTTAGCAGACAATTTTTTAGAGAAATTTCACTGATTTCTCAACACTTGTCTCGCCACATCAAAAAAACCCTATTTTAAATCAGTGCCATGCGCTCCCATCTCATTTGACCAGTGATAACTGCATTTTCGTTCAGTAGAGTTCCAATATTGAATTGAACGACAGCACACAAAAATTTCAGGAATTACTACGTCAACTGCAGTACAAAGATGAAGCCGAGAAGAAAAATTACCTCCAACTGTGGAAGTTTCTATGCGTTTTTATCATTGAGAGGATATCCTATACATATACCATAGAAATAGGAAACCATCGACGGATACAACGCGGCAACAGCTCCGAAACCCCAACATCAAACCCTCCTACTGCACCAAAATAAAACACCAATGTACGTAACAATCACTAATGTGAATAAATGTATCATCAAAACTCAGTGTTCGTAATAGAAGAAGCAAGTAAAAGATCAACCCTACATTTCCAGAAAAAACTCGCAATTATCAGAAGCCACACAAATCAGGATGGCCGCACAGATTGCAGTCGACGTAAAAACGTTTTCAGAACCATTTGCAATTTGTTAACTCAACCGCCAAAGCACCCGACGTGCCCAAAAAAAGCAGACAGAAGACCACATGCCTACTTCGAACCCTACTACGTCACTCCAGCCAGACAATAAAGGAGTTCCACTCCAAAATACAAACTGTGAAGCCCCACAACCCTTCCACTCGCAAATCGGTGAGCTAGGGGGTACTGAAATAAATCACCAATAAAATGCACATAATCTAACTGACTCAAAGCACAGCTTAAAAATATAAATCCACCAAGCGGCCAATATAAACAGCGAGCCCGATCACTTCCAAAACTATTCAGCAGCCAAAAAATCGTCAAATCACTCTTCTGTTTACCCTTTCTCCTGAATAAACCTTGAAAAAAAAGTGAAAAGTAGCCAATTCCACCCACCCAACGTTTTACCCTCCCTTTCGAATAAACCTTGAAAAGAACAAGAAAGGTAGCCAGTTCCACCCGCCCAACGGTTTCCTTAAAAAGCTCCTTATTTCAATATCTTTATCTAAATATAGACAAAACAAATCAAAACAAAACAAAAACTTTTCAAAGAAAGCTCTAAGATCAGGCATTTATTACATGTAGAAAAGATAAAATTAGACAAAAATAAACACGTAATTAATTGCAAAATAAACAATTTTCTCTTATTATATAAATTAAAAC